CCCCCCCCCTTACTGTCCCTGACACCTCTTTTTGTCAACATGAGGTAAAATATATAAAATATGAGTACAGAATTTCAATCAACTTTATTTGTCATGATGTAACAAGGGAGCAGGCCTCACCTGGCCATTAAACTGTCCGTCAATTGAAACGGTCAATCTTGAAAACCAGGTTTATTACAAAGAGTTGAAGTGTGACATGCACTAAAAAATGTAATATAATCATTCAAAAATATTTACCAGAAACAGGATTTTGTGTCATATGATGTGATTATATGTTATGTGCGATAACCCATGTAAGCATGAAAATACACAGAATGTGCTTTAATCAAAGATAACTCGTCTATATGATGGTGATAACTGTATGCCTTTTACCTTATGGCCAGGCGTGACATGCATATTTTAATAATATATATTTTATATTACCTGAATTATGATAATTGTAAACTGTGTAATGTTGTTTTATGAGCACTGCTGTCCTGCAACTGTTATTTCAGTCCCCTAAGTGAATTTTTGCCATAATATAAAAAATTAGCTGTCAAAAAATTAGCAAAACTCCTACAAGAAACAAAAAAGTGTACAATTGTTATTTTAGTATGTATGTGTTGAATTACATTACAGTTACATTACAGTGTTAAAAAAAAAGCGTCTGCGAAATCCAAATCTGCGTAATCTGTCCCAATGGATGGGATGGTTTTGGAAAATGTAAAAATTGTAACGAACTCATTAATTGCTTACATTTTTCAGTAATATGAACTCCTGTTCCTCTTGTGGTGATGATAGGATTATACAGGTGTGAAAATGGTTGGAAAATTGAAAGTATTTCTGGATGTAGACAAGATGCTTGACTATAAAAAATTAATGTGCGGTTACTAAATATCCACATGTGGAGGATTTATCCCTTCTTACTGGGATTCCACTGTGTGTTCGTGTGTGTGTGTGTGTGTTTACCTATCTCTGGTTGTTAATCAGGTTTTGTTAATAGATCACACACTAAATGACACAAATATTTTAAGAAGATTTCGTTAAGGGACGTCTTTCACCGTTCTTATCGTTCTTATGGTGTCAGCTATTTGAAAAATTTTGACTGTGGTAAATTGAGTTTGACACCTCTGATATATAAAGCCTGTATCTGAGCCAGAATCATAAAAATGGTATTTTAAATATATTTTTATGTGAACCTGTGCAATCAAATTTCAAATAAAGAAAATAAGAGATCTAAAAAAAACCCTTAATAGTTAATCAGTAACACATTACACATTTAAATTTGAAACAATCATATCTGTAAGTTCTTGACCCTTGAAAGTTTTCGCTGCGCGTGTTATAAGAGTCAGGATAGGAATATAAACTGCAGGCTTTATGGGTCAGTGAAGGCCTATAACTGTAAGACCGTAATCATAGCCACTCATCCATCAACATAATCTCCATTACTGACTGAGCTAATGTGGGTGAGGAAAATCAGACACTTGTTTTGTTTTCAAGAAGCTACTTCACGTGTTCCTAAACCTCTATTCTACTTTGTTCTTTATTTTTTTCCAATTTCAGTCTGGGTTAAAGTCATAAAACAACACTAAAGCTTTTCTTCTGTGACTGAACATCATTAGCGCTCACCACTGGATGAATATTTTATATGTAGTTTGCACTTGCTTTGTATTTATGTTTTTTTCTTGTCCTCATTATTTTATTGCATGAAGGGGAGATGGCCCTCGTTGTTCTTTTTGTGCATGTTTTTATTTTAAACGAGTGTGTGCAAAGTCAGCAGCACTACACGTGAACATGATGGAACACTTTCAATTAACTAAAGTGATGTGAAAGTGTATTTACTCTTAGGAGTGCCAGCGGAGCAACTCTGCAGTGCAGCTGCCCTAGTTACAGAGCAGCCTGATGACTGTGAGCGACTGTGGTTGGCCCAGGCTGAGAGAGGAGGAGTTTGTTATGGTTGACTGAATTATGGAGTGTAGGCTGCTAGAAGCAGACTTGGATGGCAGGACCGGTGGGGTAAATGGAGGGAGAAGACTTTGACAGCAGTAGCTTGCAGATGTGTTTTAGGTTTTTATCTTCTTTTTTTTTTACTCCAGATTTGAAAATGCATTTTTTTAAATCTAACACTAAAATGTTTAAATGGTAAATGGCCTGCATTTGTATAGCGCTTTTCTAGTCTTTAAGGACCCCAAAGCGCTTTACACTACATTCAGTCATTCACCCACTGGCGATGGCAAGCTACATTGTAGCCACAGCCGCCCTGGGGCGCACTGACAGAGGCGAGGCTGCCGGACACAGGCGCCACCAGGCCCTCTGACCACCACCAGTAGGCAAACATGGGGTTAGTATCTTGCCCAAGGATATTTGGCATGCAGCCAGGAGGCAGCCTGGGATCGAACCACCGACCTTCTGATTAGTGGCTGACCTGCTCTGCCACCTGAGCTACAGCCACCCCTTTAACCCCCCGTTTAAGCAGGCCCCTGAGCTGCATATACAGTTGGAAAATCCACTTGATAAACTGTACACTCTCGCTTTTCTCTTTAATCTGTTCATGTCATAAAACATTGAGCTGCAGTAATCACTGAGGTAAGAAAACAGAAAAATGAGAAGCGCGTATGCAGTAATAGACAAATCTTCATGCAAATGGCAACAGCAAATATATTTTTTTAAAAGATGTAATTGTGCTTTGCACAAAACTCTAAACATTTTCAGTTATGATTAATGCTTATCAGTGTTAGCTGATGGCTGTACATAGAGACTGAGCATTCCATTAATGTAGTGTACTTAATACTGATTTTATCTTCACTTGTACAAGCTCCCTGTTGTATAATTCTGAATGAATTTCTGCAGAATCCCCAAAATTTAATCTATTCTGTGTTACTCTTCCAGGATTAAATTATAGGAACATGGAGACAGCTTTCGTTGTCCAGCCTTATCCAGAAGTATGATTGGAGCATCCAGTCTCTCTGGGGACACCTTGATAGCCTGCCACTTCCCCGTGGTGCAGCTTTCCACTTGGCAGCTTCCTGTCCAGGCCCTGTGCAGCTCTGCCAAGAGGCCCGGCCGGCTGTGCTCAGCAGGCCTGACTCGGGCCGTGTCCCTCCCAGAGCAAGAGTCGATAAACTGTGAGCATGCCTTCACCGGTGACCGGAGACATTTTTCCAGCAGCTACAGCAGCCTCAACGAGGACCGGACGGAAGAGGAGGGAGGCAGCGACGGAAGCTGGAAGTACGAATCCACCTCGTCGCCCGAAGAGACGAGTTCCCACCAGAAGAAGGAAAGCTCTGTGCCTAGATGCAATGTCCGGTCGCGCAACTCCTTCCTTCCCTGTACAGAGTTAAATGAGGACGAGGAGGATGAAGACAGCGACGGAGATAATCTGCACAGATATCACGAGGACTCTTCGTTTGTGCTGCATGGAAATTCCAATTGGCCGCTAAGTAATGTCGCCACAAATTACCCAATATACCCAATGCCCCACGGGAACCTGGACAGTGAATGGGGCAATGAGGGAACTATGCTGGTTAGTGAGAGTGATCAGGAGTGGCTCTCTAACCAGTCCAACCAGATGGACTCACTGCCGCCTGAATGCCAGTGCTGTCACATGAGCAGATCTGGCATCACGATGTTGGCTTGTTTGGAGAAGGACTCAGACAGACTGGAGGATAACATGTCCTGCTGCCTCCACGGCGAACACAAATGTTCCCCAGAGCGTCTTTCCAACAACCACACAGAGTATGTCAGTGACTCTTCCTGTAACAGTTCTGACGGCGTCTTGGTTAACTTCTGCACTATGTACAACAGGAGCAACAATCCTGCCACACCTCATGATCTCAGCAGTCCTGCAGCTCACCCCTCTGGGCCATCAGAGGGATGTGTATTCCTCAACCTCCAACCTGTCCCCCAAAGTCAGAATGAAGAAGTCAAACTTGATAGCATGACGGTTTACTCTCCTCCGAAAGAGGAGGTTGACATGCTGCTTTCTGCTTCCCGCCTGTCCCCTCGGGGCCTTGACTCTAACTGCAATCTGTACTCACTAGAGGAGCTACCCGTGGGTCTCTCCTCTCTAGAGGTATCAGACCTGACTGCCTGTCTTCAAAGCCAGGCCACACTGGCCATGGGGACCAACCAGAAGTACTACAAGCTTGTGACTTGTGACCTCTCTTCCCAGTCACCCAGCCCGGCCTGGTCCAGTGTCACCGGCTGCCCCGAAGGTCAGAGCAGAGGCAGCCCCTTCCTTCTCAGTTTTGATCAGAAGAAAGAAGGACAGCAGAATGAAATTGAGAAGGTAAAAAAAAACCCTTTATAGTGTTTGGATGATTAAAAAAAGTTTTTAGATCTATAACTTTAATGTGATTTGCAAATAGAAGAAATGGCAAATGACTCAATTAAATTATGTACTAATGTTTTATATATCAGTTACACAGCTTTGATAAGAGTAATGAACTTTGCTGCTGCACACAATATTCCCTTTTGACAATCTGACCACCTTTTGGGAACAGCATTTATAAACTTGATAGGTTATTGTCATTGAAACTAAGCAGTTTTTCCTTGCTTTTTCTCTTCTCCATCAGGAGAAAGAGGACCAGCAAAAGGAGACGGGTGTTCAGTTTGACTGTTCTCATTTTCAGATCCAAGATTACCAGGTTGCAACCACCTCCACTGACAAAGCCCTCTGCAGAAAGAAACAGGCAGATAGCATCCAGAACCTCTCCCACACGCCTTGCTCGCTGTGCCCCAGCCAGTGTGGCCCACATAGCAGTAAATGCCAAGATGCAAGAGTGGCAACCACACAGCCATCTGTGATGCAGGACCAGGAGCACAACTATCCTTGTGATACTGAGAAGAGTAAGGCAGTGGCTAATAGAAAAATCCAGTTCTTTTGCTTTGTGTCTGTGATTTTGAGTGAAAAATCATGATCTTACATGTCCTTCTCAGGACCAAGTCCAGATGTGGTGCGCTACAGTAAAGCCCAGAGGCCAACCTCGCTGCCCATCCAGCCCTTTGTTCTGGTTCCTGCAGGAAAGCCGCAGCCGCCGTCCCAGCCCCTTGGCTGCCTGCTAGAGCAGTATCTAAATAAAAAGAGCAGTAAGACTGCTAACATGCAGCCGGCCTTCAGTTTCAAAGGCAAAAGCAGCCAAAGTTTTTCAGATTTTCACCCATCACCGACAGACAACCACTGCTCCATCTTCCTAGAGGCTCCTTCTAGCTCTGGTACCTGCTCCACCTGCACACCAAGCCCAGAGTGCTTCATCCGCACGCGTTCATGGAATCAGTTGGGTGAAAGCAAAGACTGCACCGGTCCATGCACGTCAAACAGCAGCCTGGATTCACATCATACTAGTTGTCCCACAGAGGCTCAAGAGCAAGACAAAGCAGGCCCACATTCAGGCCAAACTCAGGCTAACACTTTGCTTAGTCTTGTCTCAGCTCCGAATCGATCCAGTCTCGTTAGGATTCCCACCTACAAGGACTTGATCAGTCTCACCTTTGAGCAAAGCCAAGTGCACGCCGAGCCTAAAAGTGCTAATCATTCCCTTAACTACACCACCTATCATTCAATATTGTCTCAAAACCCACCCACTTTAACCATCACCACTGACACCCACCACCCAAACTCGCAGGTGTCTGTTTCTCCTCCCAAAACCTCACTGCCACAGGAAAAGCTTCCACAGTGTGGAGCGGCACCTGCAGCTGACTCAGGCTTTTTTCACTCTAGTTTCACAGCTGCCCTCTCCACAGTGGCTCCTCTCTCCTCTCTGAGTTCTCTCCTATCCTTGGCCGCTTCAGGGCTGCAAATCCAGGACTCTGCTGGACACAGTTTGAAGCCAAATCAGAGTCATCACAGTGAGTCTCTGATCCTGAGCGACAGGCCGCCCACAGAGTTCAACCTCTCACCCGATACGTCTTATGAGTCCATGTCTATCAGCCATCTTCAGAGGAGAAGTGAGTCTCAGCTGACTGCTGATAAATGATGTGAAATACTGTCAATATATTATAATTGAAATGTAGTAAAAGTGACTGGATTGTCTAGCCGGTGATGAGTTGTTAAGAGCAGCAATAAAAACTCACAGTGCTGCAGCAGTGCTTTGAATACCCTGAAGGGGCTTCCTCTCAAACATGACCTATTTTTAACTCTCCCAGCACAGGATTGGCTGAGCCGTCCTCTCTGTAGCCTATGTGTGCGCGACTGCGGGACAAAAGAGAGAAGGATCCAGTAGAAACAGTGTTAATGTTTTATATCGCAATCACTTTGTTTTAGTGCTATCATATAAGTCGCTTGGTGTAAATATAGTTATATAAATGTAAACCATTTCCAATAAGGTAAAGATTAGTAATAGAGGAGGCATTTGCGCAACTGCAAAAAGTCTATGTGGTGCAGCACTGCAGGCAGCATCAACATGCATAAAGAATTTACTGTGACATTTGCAGAGGCTAGCCAGTATGAGAGATGAAGAAGAGAGACAGGGTGAAGCAAGTCATTGAAGACCGCTGCTGAAATGGAAAAAAACGACTCTTTCATCTTTGGTTCCCTTCGACATTTGCATTCCTGAAATATGATAATGAACCCCGCAACCCTGCTCTCCTATGACTGTGTATTGACCCAGTTAGTGAACACTTTCTTGAAACACACGCTGATAGTCTAGTGTCATGATTTTAAACTGATAGTACTAGGAAAGTCCCAAAACAAGCTGACTTATACCAAAACCTACCTAGAACTATTCATCTCCAGAGTTTTAATTCATCAATTAAAAGAAGATATGGCTTTTTGGAAAATAATCTACATAGAGAGACAGCAATGCAGCAAATCACTCGCACTAGGGGGAAACAGTTGGCCAGTATAAAATCTGAAATTGAGGACTGAAATTTAAAAAAAAAAACTCCAGCCATCCATTTTTCTTTTCCTTATCCAATTCAGGATTGTGGAGGGGTTGGAGCCTGTTCCAGCTAAGAGGCAGAGGTCACCCTGGACAGGTTGCCAGTCTCTCCAGGCCGGTCCCAGTCTTACAGGGCTAAAGTGGAGCTGTGTCTAGCAGTTAGAAAGCTTAAGCTTCCTGAATTAGTTTTTGAATTTCATTTAATACATTTTGAACACTGTCAGAATCCTTAACTTACAGAAATACGCTCACTGGCCACCTTATTAGTTACAGCTTGTCAGTACAAGGTTTGATCGCTTTTGCCATCAGACTGCCTTTAATTCTTCGTCTCATAGATTCGACAAGGTGCTGGAAAAATTCCTCTGAGATTTTGATCAATATTGCTATGATAGCACATGCATTTACTGCAGATTTGTTGGCTGCACATCCATGATGTGAATCTCCAGTTCTACCACATGCCAAACATCTATTGGACTGAGATCATGTGACAGTGGAGGCCATTTGAGTACAGCGAACTTACTGTCATGTTCAAGAAACCAGTTTGAGATGATTTAAGCTTTGTGACATGATGGCGTCATGGTCAGCAACAGCGTGTGTCAAGAAAATTCCTCCCATACATTGCACAATCAGCAACAGCTTGAATTGTTGATACAAGGCAGGCCAAAGTTTTGGCCAAATACCTTCTTAATGTCGCAGCAGACCAGGCAACATTTTTCCAATTTTCTGTTGTCCAATTTTAGTGAGTTCTTGTGAATTGTAGGCTCCCTTTCCTGTTAGAAACTGCTATTAAAGTTGCTATTTAAGTTACTGACATTGTCCATTTCCACATGTCTGAATGCATTGTTGCTGCCATGGAACTGGCTGATTGGATGGCAGTCAAAAAGTTGCACCAAAGTGTCCAGTGAGTGTATATCAGCCTAAAACTGACAGTTTCTGGGTGTTACTCATTGGTTGGTCATGCATCACACCACACATAAGCTTTAACTAGCAATGAAATCAACAGACACCTTAACACCACACCAGTTCATGCTCTTGAACAAGTATAAAGTTGTCAGATTTTGTTTCTGAATAAAATTCATCCTGTCCAACTTGCTTGTTTGGTGTCTCCAGGGTTGCTGAGGTCTGTGAGCAGGGCGGTGGATCTGATTATGGCTCATTTTGGCAGCAGCAGAGATCCTGAAGAAAAGGTATTTTTCTGACCTTAGCATTGTTATTGACATATCACAATATAAATGTGCCAGCAGGTATATTGTGTAAGCAAAAAATATAATGTATAACATTTCCTCTGGCTCAGATGCGCCTGGGGAACAGTTCTTACAGTCCTACAATCGCTGGTCTGGTCCTGGAACACTTGTGTCCAACGATCCAGGATATTCTAGAGGACGGTCTTAGGGATCACAAACTGGATTTTATAATCGGACAACGCCGCAATCACGCCTGGAGTGTGGTCGAAACCTCTACTAGGATTGGTAGGCTAAAGGGTCTCATCAGTTTGCCCAAGCAGGATTATGTGGTCTTTGATATAGTTTTATAATCTCTGTTTAACACAGGTCCATCCACCAGAGTTCTTCACAGTCTTGTTTCCAAAATCAGACGCTGTCCCCAGCTCACCAGCCACTGCATGAAACTGAGAGCCTTCATCATGGGCCTGCTTAAGTAAATACCTTTGATGTTACTAATTGGCAAATAAAGATGTGTGAAGAACATAACCTTAATGTTCTCTTGGTTGTTTCTTCTCTTACAGCTTGAGAGCTTTGGAGTTCTGGCTCAGTCATCTTCAGAGTCAAAAAGGTGAGGCGACAGGCAATTTATAGTTCTTTATTTCTGCCTCCAGGGAGCCATAACTCAGCTTGTGCACCACTTTCGCTGACACTCAGTGAGCGTAACAACTAAATGGATTGCAACAACTCTTGAAATAACATAATCTCCCACCTGCATCCTGCTTTTTTTTACTCCTCAATACTTTCAGTCTGTTGGCTGTCTTCTTTGGATTTACCACCAATTAGGGAATCCTATCAGTCTAACAACCTAAAGTCAGGTTAACCAGCTAAACAGCTGTAAGCTTATCAAAAACTTGTCAGTAGTTATTTATAGTACAGGAGCTGGACATTTTAGCTCCTGTTGCTTTAAGGCTGTCTCCCTAGAAGTTCAATTTTTCTGACTGGCTGTCCCTCGCCAGGAATGTCGGGTCAGTAGAAAAAATGTTGGAGAATTTGTGTTTGGAGTCTTTCTGAAGCATACCAGGACTAGATTTATCTTATTAATTGAAAATTTATGCATGAAAAATATGAGCATCCAACTTTAAATAAGGTAACACATAATACAGCTTTTTAAATGCTCTAGTCCAAAGTACCCATGATAAAAACTGAACCCAAGCTATCAAAATATTATTGCTTATGTGTGGATCTGAGTGTGATCACTTCCTTTACTTTCTTCATAGATGTTGTGACAGCCTACTACCATTCTTGGGGGTTCCTGTCTATGTCCCTGGGGCGCTGTCATCCTTTGTTTCAGGAGCTGCTGCTTCTCCTGCAACCACTCTCTGTGTTGCCCTTTGACCTCAACTTGCTTCTGGAGCCCCGACTGTTACGCCACAGACAGCTGTGGTCAGAGGAGCAGGCTCTCTCCCCACCTCAACCGTGCTCAGCGCTTTTAGCAACCAGCTGGCCAAGACTGCAAGGCGACAAAAAGGAAGGCATCAGCTACTACAGTCAGATTTCACACCAGATTGATTTGCACCGCCAAGAGTCTCTCAGCTCTCACAGTTCAAGCTGCAACAAGCAACAGTGTGGTTGTATGCAGACCAGCAGGAGTCCAGTGTTAGCTACTATTCCAGAGTGGTGCCCTAAGGAGCCTGACGTTGTGGATGGAATGGAGGACTGTAGCCAAAATCATACAGATACTTGGTTTCAAATAAGTATGGACAACAAGAAAGAAGAAACAAAGGTGGAAAAAGACTGTGGCATCTCAAATCCACCCACTACCGAACAGGCACAAAATCCTTGTTGGGGTGGGCTTCGCTGGGCTAAACTGTTTGGAGCAACTGGTACTTCATCCACACTGGGAGCAATTTCTCAGAGTCACACAGGAACACAAACCACAAAGTAAGAACCAGTGTGTGAATGAGCGAGTAATCCTGAGTAGTTGTTGTTGTAGTTGTTGTCTTTGTGAGGATACTATCCAGACAGTGTGTTACTCTACTCATGAGCATTATCTCTTTATCATTTGTTTTGAAGGCACAGGCGACCATCACAGTGGCTACGATTGGACCGATCACAGCTTGGACTCTTGGCTCAATCCATCAGGTCCATGAAGCTAGGAGGAGCTCAAACAGACAAGGACTGCTGAAAACTAAACCCTCCATGGGGGAGAGCCAGACTGCGGATTATTTACTGTAAGAACAAAAGTCTTAACTGGATGAAAGTGCAGCGCTTAGCCATGCTGCAGAACTGAGAAGAAAGCACAAAAACGCAAGATTAACAGCTTTGGCTCTTACTCAACAAGCTTTGCATTACACCAAATGGTGTGAATCAAAGCAATGTTTTTGTGTTCTTGCTGAGTACCTGTTAAATATCAGCTTATCACCATGTTGTGCTTTTAAAACAAATTAGCGCTATGGACAGGGGAGGGTGTAGCATCACAAAGTGTAGCATAACAGCAAAAAAAGACTAGTTTAAGTGGCAGATCTTCACATCAGACTAATAATGTGTCAATGTATAAATTAATTATCAGTGTATGCAGAAACATATGTTACATATAGTATTCATGAAATTATAAATGTCAGGAAAAGACCTAGTGATGCTGATATAATAGCTCTCTAACTAGTCACTCAAATTGGATTAGATATGTACTCACTTCATAAGCTAGACCTGTTCAACTGCTTGTTGATGCACATCTAATCAGTTAGTCACATGTAGCAATACAATGCATTTAGGCAAGTATGCAAGGTCAAGATGACCTGCTGAAGTTCAAACTGAGCATGAAAATAGTTGCTAAATGGGCTGGGCTGGGTAATTTAGGAACCGGTTTACAGTTTCTAAAATACAGAGAATGGTCAAAAAAAGGCCAGGTGAGCATGGCCATACTACTTTGAGCTGATAGGAAAGTAACGGTGACTCAAATAAGCATTCGTCACAATCAAGGTTTGCAGAAGAGCATGAACGCACAGCACATCAAACCTGGGACCTTGACACTCCTGTCCGCAAATTTGGAAAATGAGATCTGAAAAACACTGCCTTGTCTAATGAGTGTCGATTTCTGTAGGGTCAGAACTTGGCGTAAATAACATGAAAGCATGGATTCATGCTGCCTTGAATCAACAGTTCAGGTTGTTGTTGTGATGGTGTGGGGGATATTTCTTAGCACACTTTGGGCTCCTCAGGAGTAACCGAGCATCATTTAAACACCACAGCCCACCCGAGTATTGTTGTCCATCCCTTTATGACCTCATTATGATTCAAATTATGGATGTGCAGCTGAAAAATCTGCATCCGTAGTCATGTTGATATGAACTAAAATTTCCAAGCAATGTTTACAGCAACTTGTTGAATCTGTGCCATAAAGAATAAAGGCTGTTCTAAAGTCCAGGTTCAACCCAATGTATCAAGGTGTACCTAACTGCGTACTGAATGGTTTAGATTCGGTTTGAGCATGTGCAGGGACAAACCTTCTCAGAGCCAGTTAGTGTGTTTGCAACCTGCAGATGGTTGCTCAGTAGGTTGCTTAGTCTGAGGTTTCAAAAAGGGAGTACAGCAATTGGTTCTGTTTTTTCTGTGGAGTTTTGTAATTTGTGCCATAAGTTGTCAGATACGACTTGATAAATATGATCAGGCTAACAAATATACAAATCTATTTCCAAAAAGATGGGAAGCCATATAAAATCTTAAAAAAACACAATAACAAACAAACAAACAAAAAAAACAGGAATAAAATTACCTGCAAACAATTTAACCCATCATTTACCAAAAAATAGAAAAAGACAGCATCAAATATTGAAATTGGTAAGTAATTGGTTTTAAGCTCATTTTTAATTTGATGCCAGCAACACTTTTCAGAAAACAGGGGACAAAACAAAACAAAAATAAGCACTTTGTGAACCATCTTAGCAGTCTAACGTGATTAAATGATAAAAAGAGCATCATAGAGGCGCTGTCTGTCCGAAGTAAAGATGGTACTGGTGATCTTTGGGCCCTTGAGGGGCAGCATTCGCTCTCGAGAACATCTCGACCGTCATTTTCTAGGAAGATTAAACTGATATCAGGACGTCAGCACCTGATATGCACATGTTCCAGCATCATGGCTGTAGTAGAGACTGGGAGGTTTCTGTGTAAATACAACATACATACAACACACAGGGTGCCCCCAGCAGTCGAGCAGCTGAAAAGCAAACAAAAAACAAAAAAAACAAACTGCTCTGTTCCCAAATTCTTAAAAATGCTGTTAAAAGAAGATATAATGCAACAGAGTATAGCAAATCCCTGTGTCATCTTTAAAAAAACGTAAAAAGTGTCACTGGCGTTAAATCAAAATCCTCTGCAGCATTGCAACGTTTAATATGCTGGCTTTGTACCTAATACCAAATTTAAATGATGAGCATGTTATTGGATTCTTTTATAAACAAGAGAAGTGTGTTTAAGCCAAAATCTTTTCCAGGAAATTGTTTGATAAGCAAGACAGATGAGCAAGGGCCACTGCCCCGATCTGATTTGTGGACTAACCGTGATTAGGTGATTATGTTTCTCCTGCAAGCCGATGTCATTCATAAAATGTGAATCTGTTGTAGACAGATGTTCAAAACTTCCCGTTTCTCACATTACTTTCCGTCATTGTCATTTTGTTGATGAAAAAAAAAGAAAAAAAAAGAAATAGATGCTTATCAGTGCCAGATACACCACACACACACTCACACACACCAGCCTCTTGTAGTAGATTGTCAGTGATGGTTTTATTCCCAGTAACTTGCCTTTCTTCTCCATATTCACAGCATGGATTTACTGTAAATGCATGTCGAGTCAGCAAAAGTACAGAAGGTCGTCCTGTCTTCATTGGACCTCTCAACTTCCTTTCGCTGCTTTTCTCCCCTTTGACGTTTTTACAGGTGCAGATTTTGTTCTGGACATTTTTTGGCATGGAACTTTTAAATGTGTAGAGCTGTTTGGTTAATACTGTAGCATGCCTTCAGGTCTTCCAGTGATGTTAACCACATAAGCCACCTTGTGGCCATTTCAGGTATTTAACTGTGTGTCAGGTATACTTTGACTGGTATTGAGATAAGATGGAAGAAAATGGAGGTAAATGTGACTTTCATTAAATAGTATGAGGTCTGTTAAGTTTTTCCTTCTTCCTATAGTTTCTCTTTTCCCCCGAATGCTTCCTCTAATGCCCAGTGACAATCAACCTGTTAATAAAGACTTGACATCTTCACATGTATTCATCTTTTTCCTTTTTGTGTCTTTACATTTAACTGCTTGTGATTTGAAAGGATTTGACTAATTTTACAACTTCATCATGCTGGTTAGGATCATTTTATTGGGATGTGTGGTATTGGTTTGACTTGCTGCTCTTTTCCAGTGCAGTCTGGGAAGGTTTACCAAAGGTATGTCCACACAGGAAAAGGTACCCTGTAGGATGGTGTAGGAATAGACATATCCCGCTTGTGGGAGCTGCCCTGTTGCACTTTTGGAGACAGAAGGGGGGTGTCCAAATTCATAGGCTGCATCCTCCTGAGGTCACATTTGTAGGCCGATTATGTCACAGGGACGCGACAAAGGCGGTCCAAATTCATAGACTCCTCCAAATGCAGCCAACAAATGCACCCTCCTTTTCCCCAGATTTGAAGGATGGGTCAGGTGTATCCTTCGTGGCCCACAATATAACAGAATTCATAGCGCGGCCCAGTCAATTCCAGTTTCCAACAATGGCAGCAGCTACTTAGTTTTAATATTACTCTTATTACTCGTTCTG